CGCGTTCTTAATATTACGGGACGCAAATAGGTGCTGGGTTGTTCAGATTTCAATAAGTCATCCATGAATGAAATTGCATTCTCATACGACACCATTCAGACAGACATACGGCCATAACTTTGTGTTGTGAAATAAGCTCCAGGAATGCCACGACGCTAATGCAACTTGGCTTTACAGACATCCCACAGTGTGCTGGTCGAGAACAGAACAGATATTCTGACACCACTGGGTGCCCTGCTGTGATTTCTACTGGTCGATTTGAGTAAATAAGGCGGCACTGCGTAGTGAGAAGATTGTCAGAAGCCGTCTTTGCGCTCGTACAATGAGCAATTAGTTGCATAGTAAACTGATCGGGTTCACCGACTGCCTGTGATGCAGTCACGCATGCCGGGCTGCCCGCGCGCGCGCCACGCTATGAGGGTGGCCAGCACGACCGTGCGCTGCGCACCATGCCGTCTTTGTCATATCAAAATATCCTCTTCTGCTGCGAATGAAAAAAAAACACATAGTGCCAATATTCTTTTGGTGAATGCTGAAAGATGGAAAACACTTGGATGTGGCAGCATTTCAAAGGGTGCAGCAAACCAAAACCTATTTCACATCACTGGTCTAAAATAAAGCGTGTGTTACGATTCCAGCACTGTACGGCTAGCATCCGGTAACATAACATCATACTCTAAAGAATGTACTTCCAAAACGTCCGCACCAGTGTGTAGCATCAACCAGCTATGGGGATTATTTTGAGTTGAGAAATCTATTAGCAGTAAGGTAGCATTCAAAGTAACAGGCGGAGAAAGGTGCTACGTCAACTGCAGACGCTGTCTTGCTGTAATCTTTATTTTAAAACAAGCGTGTAGATGGACACAACCCCATACCATCACGCATTAGAAATTCAATGAAGCAAAGCTATGAAATGGGCCTAAATTTCTCTCACAACATGCAATTATTTGCATAACCGCTGCAAAGATGAACACCCTTAGAAAATTTGGCTGCGTCGCTCATTTAAACAAAAAGTCTTCTTAGTACAGCGAGGATTAATTTGATCCCCAGGATATCTCAAAACCTATTTGACAGATTTTGTCCTTACTTTGGCTTGAAAGTACCTTGCCAGAGCGTAGCATTTATTTTAACACGCGCTCGGGTGGGAGCCAAATTGACCCGCTGAGAAGGTTTTTGCGGAATGGTTTTCAAACGGCGCGGCATAGCCGCGCCAAGTTTTGCATACTGTCGACAATTGAATAGCGGATCGTCTGACATACAAAATTAGATGCTCCTTGTAAAATCGCTGACCTACGACAGGTCAAAGCCAGGGCATGGTTTCAGCGAAGGCAATTTCTAGAGATTCGTTCAATCTGATCAAGGAACGGGGTATTAGACGAGGCCATACATCTCTGAGATAGTTTCTTAGACAACACAACAATTGAATGAACAAATTGCTTTGACCTAAGGTCAGGTATTAAGGTCAAACCGAGGTCAGAATAAACTTGTTTCATTACTCTAGGGCTTGCTGTATGGGTTAGTTTCTGGTGCTTATTTCGAATTTACTGGTGACAGGAAACGCATTATACACCTTCCATGGTCCTTTTAAAGGTCCGAAAATCTCAATGACCTAGAATGACCCAGATCAACATCTTGCTTTTTGGAACATGCCGCCCCGCGTAATCTTTGTCACTTATCCAAATGCAAAACTCGAAGCGGTCTTGTATGATCTTAGTCACCATAACATTCAAAAGGTCAAACGAGGTCGCTGACCTTAGTTGAGCAAGTGACCATTTGCTTAGAACAGCTAGCTAAACTCCAAGGGCAATTTGGAAAGCGACCTGAAGTTTGACCTTGTTTGTCCTTATTTAACACCAAGGTTATGACCTAGGGACCTCAGACTACGATCTAACTCAGTTCACACACAGGTCAACACACCCTGTGAATTTGGTGTATCTAGCTTCTTTAGTTCCCGAGATTTCAGGGGTGTGGGATCAAACTGCCCTCCCCCCTCCCCCACCCTAGCGAAGGGTATCCAACCGGCCACCCGGGCGCGAGTTAACGGGTGCATGTTCAAAAGTTTTTTTATAAACTTGGATAAAGCGGTGTGGGATGAGACTTCAGTGAAGTAAAATCTAACTTTGTGATTTCGCCAGTGTCTGTGTTTGTGTCCATGTCTGTGTCCGTATCCGTGTCCATGTCTGTGCGTACGTGTGTGCGTGTGTGTTGTTTTCCGTCATTCTGAAACTTGAAAATGAAATAATGAAGACAAATGCTTACTTCCTTACCGTTACCATTGCCGTTACCATTTTCCCATCAGTTTCAAGCTTGAAAACGCAATAATGAGGAAGAAAGTCAACCGTTTTAAACTTTTCACCCTGTTCGCATTCACCACACTAAACAAGCACAGCTCCAGTTTGCATTTTATTCGTATCAGAAAGCATTCTCATCAAATGACGTTTAATACGAAAAAATTAAGCGCTTTTTATGGATATTTCTAAAAGCATTGTTTTGAATCCCAATGAACACCACAAGCATATCCGTGATGTTCATGGAGGATTAACGACGCTCTGCAGCTGAGGCTATATGGTATCGCCTGCCTTGTACTTAGGCTGGAAGGGCGAGTATTGCGGGATATCGAACCTCTTACCTCTGACTTACTGTACGCATAGCTACACTACCCGGCACCGACGCGCCGCCTGTGCAGTGGATGCAGAGGACACGCACGCAGAAGTACAGCTAAGCACCAATGCATGAAAACGTCTTAAATTGGAATATACAAAGCGCGAATGAGCCGATTTAATAAGTGGCCGATACATGACGATGCAGTCCCTTCAAAACTCAATTCCACTTCTACTTTAAGCTTTGCAGCCTTCTCGGCATATTTTGCTTTCAGGTAGCTAAGCATTTTAAAGCTCGCTCCAAAAAGCAAAAACGGCCCCAAAACATCCGTGATGGACTCAAATACGCTGATAAGGGTGACTGCGGAATGACAACACAAAGGAACTGCTGACCTCCTCCGTATAGCCGGAATAATTGGATAGAACATTGGTCACCTAATTTTTCCTGTGTTCGATGTGAGAACTCTGAAGGAGGTAGCTCACTGAAATACTGGGGAAACCGTAATGATAAACACTTGAGGCCTGCTCGGCACCATATTGAGTCAATGTCGGGGAGGAACTCTGACGCACCCCACGGCTCTTCCAAACTAACTACCGAACGGTGCGGGCGGCGTCACGCCGAACGTTGTTCTGCTGTTACCAATTGAATAGGCGATCTTTCGGCAGGTATAAAGCAATTAGATGTGCCTTGTAGGGTCGCCGACCGATGTCAGGCCAAAGTCATGCCATGGATGTCAGCAAATGCAATTCGTAGGGAATCGCTTAACTCGCGCCCGGGCTGCCGGTTGGATACTCTTCGCTCGGGTGGGGGTCAGTTTGACCCCCCTAAGATCTCAGGAGCTAGGAGAGGTAGAAGTATCACATTTACAGGATGTATTGGCCTGTGCGTACACTCACTTAGATCAAGGTTTCAAGCTCCTAGATCATGACCGTCGAGTCAAATAAGGTCAAACAAAGTCAACCTCCAGGCTGGTCTTGTAAGTGCCCCCCAAACCTAGATAGCTGTTATAAGCAAAGGCCACATGCCCATTTAAGGCCAGTGAACTTGTTTCACCTTTTGTAGGTCACGGCGACCTAAATCATGGAAGAATGCTTTAAGTTTTGCATTTGAATGCGCGACAAAGATTATGCCAAGCAGTATGCTCTTAAAAAGAAAACGTTGACCTGGGCGATTCTAGGTCAGTTACCTATTCTGACCTCTGAGAAGTCCATGGAAGATGTGTAATACGGCTCCTGTTATCGAAAGATTCGAAAATAAGCACGGGAAACTACCCTGCAGAGCAAGGCCCTATAGCAATAAAGCAGTTTGGTTTGGCCTTTGGTCCGACCTTTATACCTGACCCTAGGTTAAGGTAATTTGTTCATTTTAATTGTTGTGTTGCCTAAGAAAGCATCTCAGAGGTGTATGACGTCGTCTAACACTGCGTTTCTGCATCAGGTTGAACGATTTCCTAGAAATTGACTGCACTGAATCCATGGCCTGACTTGGACCTGCCGTAGGTCAGCGACCATTAATCTGTGTCAACCGTGTCAATCTGTTGCGATAATGGAGTGTTAGAAGCAGCCAACATCTCTGAGATGGAATTCTTAGACATTTTTCAATTGCATTTAGGATTACGGCTAATTTTACTGAGCACAGGTCAGCAATGAAGGTCGGACCAAGGTCGGTCAAAGCAAAGCTTCTTTTTGCCGCAAAACGGCCTTATGGAATAGTTTTGACGCTCGTTTTAAAATTTTCTAACGAGTAGGTGAACAGACACCTGATTTAAGTTTTACGAAGACTAGAGAAAGCCCATAGATCTAAAGTAACCCCGATTAACCTTTTGTTTTGGCAACCATGCCGCCTTGGCACCAAATCAGATTCAATATCAAAACAATCTCGAAGGTTTTGGTCAACTTGACCTTCTGAAGACTAAAACGACCACTGAACGAAACATGGACACTAGTGACCTTTTGCTTAGAGATGCGTCCAGGCTAATGTTGGTTACGTGTGGCTGTCTGTGGGCATTAAGGGACACTGCTCTGGAGTTTGGCCTTGTATTATCTTATTTGACCTGAAGATCATGTTGCAGGGACATCGAAATTTCAAATAGATGGGGTTCACAAACAGATCTGCCTGTCCTGTGGATGTGGTGTTTCTAGCTCGCTTACATTTTTTAGATCTTAGGCAGAGTGTTAGATTGCCCCCAAGTGCATCGCATTTACCGACCACCCGGGCGCGTAGGTAAGACTATCTGATTCCGCCTGGTTTACCACGTTATGACCACCTGATTGAAGGCTAGTACACCTGGTATGACATGCTTCCCACCTATCATCAAGGGCACAGCTTTTGGCATCGCGGGCTGTACCTGCGGGCTTGATGGCAGCACACAACGTTGGCCGCCAGCGTCGCCAGCCCACAGCGAGCTCGCGCGGCATGGCTATCGCAGAGCTGAGTCCCGAACACCGGTCCAATTGGCCGCCGCTGCCAGCCAGCCACCAGGCCAGACCAGACCAAATCAGACCAGATCAGTTCAGACCAGACAAACCAGACAGACTATCCAGACTAAGCCAGATCAGATCAGATCAGATCAGATCAGATCAGATCAGATCAGATCAGATCAGACCAGACCAGACCAGACCAGACAAGGCCAGACCAGACTAGACAAGACCAGGCCAGACAAGACAAGACCGGACCAGACCAGACCAGACCAGACGGACCAGACAGACCAGATCAGACCAATCCAGACAAGGCTAGATCAGCCAGATCAGACTAGACCGACCGAACCGGACTGGACCGGACCATACTTTACCAAACCCGACCAGACAGACCGGACCACACCAAACAGACAAACCATAACACACCGGACCAGACCACACATCAGACGATCAGGCCAGACCTGACCAGATTGGACCAGACCGACCGGACCGGACGGGGCCAGGCCACATATCAGATCAGACCAGAAAAACCAGACCAGACCAGACAGTTTCGCCGCCTGCTCCTGGGCATGGGTGTGATCTGCCGGCGGCGGTGACGGGCGAGACTGTCAGCCGGGGCGCCGATGCCTCCGGCCCCACGGCCGCCCGACTAACAAGCCGGGGCGCCGGTGCCTCCCGCCCCACGGCCGCCCGACTGACAAGCCGGGGCGCCGGTGCCTCCCGCCCCACAGCCGCCCGACTAACAAGCCGGGGCGCCGGTGCCTCCCGC